TAGAGAGAGAGAGAGAGAGAGAGAGAGAGAGAGAGAGAGAGAGAGAGAACTATGAGAGAGAGAGAGAGAGCTGAAAGAGAAACCAAAAACTGACCAAAAGTGTTATTTGGGCGATAAGTGGGCAATAAGTATGTATTTATAGGTGATATTTGCAAATTTTTTTGGGAGGGGTGGTATTATCAGTTAAAATTATAGAAAGGGTGGCATTTAGAACTATTTTCCTAAATTTAAAGCTCCGGAAAGTTCCTCTTCAACTCTAAAGGCGAGGATGGCCTTGAGTGCTTATCTGAAGACTAACACTATTTTGTCTTGTAGTTGTGACTTTTCATGCTACAATGAAGAGGCCTAAGAAATTAAAGAAGAAATTGCATGTGACGGGAATAACACTATCTTTTTATTTTCATTTAATCGTATTTAACCATATAGAATAAAATCCTCATGCATGACGAAACGTGATTAATTTGTGATACATACAAGTTTTTTTACAAATATTAGGATTGAAATGAATTGGAATTTGGAAGTTTGTACTTTTTTCCACGTTATCAAGAAACTTTCTCGTGCTTGGAACATAATCTTTTTCCAAATCTTACCAACAGAGCAGGATTGAAAAAGTGATAGCCAATTGGCTGATGTCTTCAACTTTTTGCCTCGAGACTGGTGCATGTCTTTGGGTGTAGCATTTGAATTGCTACCTACCATTGCGTTTCAGCAAGTCCCAAAAATAACTGACAGCTGACAGATAACGACGTAAAAAGAGTCTTGTGTCTATCCATTGGAATATGAACGTGAGAGAGGTAGTTTGCATCAATCAGAATATCACAAAAATGATGATTTTGTCAAATTCAACACAATTTGTTACAATTTAATATATAAAGATTGAGTGAAAAATGAAGGTATGAATAATTGAATATTATGCATGTAATATGTATTTAAATAAGATAAGTGAATTGTAAAAGAGAGAATACAAACTCTAATATCAGGTTGGGAGAACTGGTTGCCAAACTGTCTTCACTTGTTTTCTTCTTTAAGTTAATGATTGGTAAATCAGAATCTAATACAATTACCTCCATGCTTTTTGTAATAACAATTTCTTCAGATTTGTTTTTGGTTCGAACATGACTTACAGAAATGCTAAATGGAAGAAAAAGAAATATATTGGTAAATGTTAGAAAATGCGTAAATACTTATATAAAGGAGTTAATTGTTATATAAATTCTAACCTTTTTGGTTTTTTTGATGGGCGAAAGGTAAAGAGAGCTCTTTTGACAGTGTCTTTAAATCTTTTTTTTTGAAATTGGGGTAACCTCTGTTATAGAAGCATCAGCTGAGCTTGTGGAAGATGCACTTGGAATTTTCTTTGAGAGAAGTGGGGTAATGGGTGGAACCTTTTGGGTAGCAATGTTTTCTTTGTCATGTGCAGCCAAACTTTTGTCAGATGATTGCGATGTTGGTTCAAGAAGTGGCATTGTGTCGTCGAAGATTGCTTGAATGAGTAGATCATTTCTGTTGGAATAAATCAAATTTGAAAATTTTTAACTTGTCCTCTTGTTTGCAGAATTGCATATGGCAATTGTTGTTGGTCGGTAAAATCTCTTTGAACAACCAATTCATTGCAAGAAATTCTAAACAACTGTTCTGCTGGTCTTCCAATTATGATTGCATTGGTTTCGTCAGTTGAATCTTCAAGCACTAAGCTCACTTTGAACCTGTATGTAAAATTTATGTAATGTTTTAATAATTTAAAACAATTGTGTTTAAACTTTATGGAAAAATAAAATAAAACTAATTGTTGAGATTTGTATTACCAAGGGAGAGGAATTTGATTATCGTGTTTTGGGCACAAAATTTCATCATGGTGGGCAGCAGTTCTAAGTTGTTTAAAGCAAAATGGGTATGCTTTATACCACCAACCGTTACGTGTGTCAAAACGCATAATAGCTGCTCTGCATAAAATGGGAGTGTCCTAAAACATATTTAATTTTTTTTGTTAATATAGCAAAAACAATTATAAAATATATAGTGATAAGAGAAGAATAAAGTGAAATTTAGCTTAAATAATTTGTAAAATTGTATGTTAAAATACGAATAATAAGGAGATTTACCTTGCCCACCGAACTTGACGCTTTCTTCTTTCAGTTTTTTGTCGTTGTTTTGTTTACTGTTTTGTGACTGGCCTCTCTGGTTGGTCTTTGTTGTTTGTAGCCCTTGACTGTTGTGTTATTTTTCTTAATATAATACTCCTTTTACTGAAAAAAAATAAAACAACCTTTAAATTTAAAGTTCTGGAAAGTTCCTCTTCAACTCTAAAGGTGAGGATGACCTTAGAGTGCTTATCTGAAGACAAACACTATTTTGTCTTGTAGTTGTGACTTTTCATGGTACAATGGAGAGGCCTAAGAAATTTGTAAACCGTGTATCCTTCTCGTATAAGTATTAGGTACTTAGGCTGGGCCCTGAGCTCGTATCTGACGACATGGTTGGGTCACTTTCTGGAGATGATCTGCACACTTAACACAATATCAGAATAGGAGTGAACCGCGGAGATCCCAGTTGAGCTCTCTCCGATGATTAAGTCAGGGATTGATTTGAGCTAAGGAAAATGGATGTAGGGTTTTCAATATCATAGTATTTATTACCTTTGTCCAGAGATTGGTGAAGGGTATTTATAGGAGGGAGATGGTCCTCCATATCTATTAATGAAAGAGATCTTTATCCTCTGGATTGTGTTACATTTAATGTTCTGCTTCTGACCCACCCACTTTCTTGACAGGGATCTGGTGGCGAAGTGACAGGCGAATAGGGATGGGAGGTGCATTGAATGTTCTCTCTCTATCACCAGCCTGTCCCTCTGGAGATCGAAGGGCAAAGCGACATCTGGACAAGGATGGGATGTGTATCAACCGACCTTTCCCCCCTGCCAGGCTGCTTCATTAATGCCCTACTGATTTTCGGATAAAGAACGACAGTGGTCGGGTCGGTGGACAAAGCTCCGATCATTGGTCCAGCCCCCTGCTCCATCATAATCTGCTCTGAGGATCAGGTCGGTATATAAGTGACCTAGCATGTTATGATCATGTGGCGATTTATAATAGGCTCGGCTCGGCATGATGGTATTAGGTATTAACAAAATTAAAGAAGATATTGCATGTGACGAGAATAACACTATCTTGTTACTTTCATTTAATCGTGTTCCACCATGTAGAATAAAATCCTTATGCGTGATGAAACGTGATAAATTTGTGATACATACAAGCTTTTTTCCACGTTATCAAGAAACTTTCTCGTGCTCGGAACAATATCGTTTTCCAAATCTTAACAACACAGCAGGATTGAAAAAGTGATAGCCAATTGACTGGTGTCTTCAACTTTTTGGTTAAAAGCCAAGCCTGGAGACTGGTGCCTGTCTTTGGGTGTAGCATTTGAATTGCTACCTACCATTGCATTTCAGCAAGTCCAAAAAATAGCTGACAGTTGACAGATAACGACGTAAAAAAAGTCTTGTGTCTATCCATCCATTGGAATATGAACGTGAGAGAGGCAGTTTGCAGAGAACACGTGACTACCTTATCATTATTGAGTTTCTAAAAGTTCAAAAAGAAAAGAAATAGGAAAACAAAAAAATTCACACAACCTCTGCTATATAAACATAAAGCCACATATTTTACACCCATCAGTTTTCATCATCGACTTAGAACTCTCTAATTCTTTGGTGATCTTTTTGGCTATAAAATTAGAAAGGAAAAACTCTCTAATTCTTCACCTCATACATACATCAAGCGGCCAAAGTCTAAACAGAGAAAGAAAAGTCAGGTAAGTTTTTCTTTAATTTTTAGTTTGACAGCAACATTTATGACCAAAAGGAAGATAAAAATATTGATTTCATATTTGTTTTATCAATTTCAGTGGGTCAGAAAAGATTCTTGGGTTGGGAGGATCATCATATTTGGAGTGATCATGTTTATCATTTCAAAGGGATTTGCTGTTATATCTGCAACTAAGAACCTCCAACTACCGTTCATAGAAGATATATTTGCATCAGGGCGCACAAGATTTTTGGAATGGGTGGTTTCGGAAAATCAGGTATTTACTTTCGACCTTTATTTTATTTGCTCAGATGATTAGTGTATTTTTTTTCTTATTCTGTGAATGTTTTGAATTAATTTTTGGTTCACCAATATCTTTCTGAGTTTAAAGAAAATAAAATTCTATTCCATTTGCTGTGTCAGTTTTCATTGTTATGTCTTCTCGTCTGCTCGTCGTGAGGTCTGAGGTCTATAGCATTTTGCTTGTTATATGTAAGTGTGCAAGTTCTTAAATTTCTGGGAGCTGTCTTAGAAAGTGATATGTTTAGGAAGTTGCTGCTTATGGTGTCAGTTTTTGGGTTAATAATTTGGATAGAGAAGTCGGTTTAGTTGGTACACAGAGAACTCTTTTAATTTTTTTATTATATCAAATTGTATATGGTTTTAGTTCAGTCATGACGCTTTAGCAAGGCCCACTGGGTCCTTCAAGATGTGGCCAAGAGCGTTGAGACTTTGTGATATCCTGTTCCTAAATTAATATTTAATTCTTAAATTATTCAAGTAAAAGACAATTTCACCCCGAAAGTATTTTAATGGGTTTAAAATTGACTTTTTCTTTGGGAAATTTTGGGATTTGAGTAATGTAGTTGCGTAGAACGCGTCGATACGAGTTCGTAGACACGTAGTGGGCTTAAATCGGAGTTTTAACGAAGAAGTTATGGTCAATGGAAGTGCAGTGGCACAACTGTAAATATTTTGAAGACAGATTTTTTAGAAAAACCAGTCAGCCTTCTTTCTCTCTCTCTCTCCCTCTCGACTTCCCTGTAACATCCTGACCCAATTGGGTCTCTTTGATTTTCTTACTCTAATTGCTTTTCTTATTGTTTATTCTTGTTTCTAACTTGTTTTTCTTTGTTTTTGTTTTTTATTGTGGTTTGTGGTTGTGTCGGTGTGATTTTGCTCAATTGGGTATGTTTTCTTACTTTAATCTCTTATCTTGACCATTGTTGTTGTTATTTGTGTTTATTATTGACTCATTGTAATTGTGGTTGAATGTTGGGAATGTGGATTGCATTTTGGCATTGTGGCATATTTGTGCATAATTGTGGTTAATATTTTGGCATTGTGGCATATTTGTGCATAATTGTGGTTAATATTTTGGCATTGTGGAATTGTGCATTGTGATTAATTTTGTGGCATTTTGCATGTTTGGGAATTGTGGCATGAATTTTGTTGTTGTCTTGCTTTGTGCATATTGGTTTATTTTCCTTAGATGTCTAGAGCTAGAAAAAGTACCAGAGGGGGTGCATCTTCCTCACGAAATGCACCTCATTCAGAAGAGGCAATTCTCACTACCACCGTGGTTACTGAGCGTAACCTAGATCTTAGTCCCTCCATCCAAACCGCTGGACTTATTCAAGTCCAGCACCTTCTTAGGGACCGAAACCTCTTACCTTTAGCTCGTATCTATAAAAAATACAATGAATCTTTTGTGCGAGAGTTTTATGCTGCTTTCCCTAGGGAAGAGTCTGGAGATAATGAAGATGTGCCCATTAAGGTTCGAGGCAAAAATTTTGAACTATCCACCTCCATTATCTTTGAGGTTCTTCACATACCTGAGAAGGATACAAATAATTGGAAACAATATCTGGGTAGGGATTTTGACATGCAAAGCGCAGCTGAAACACTTTTTTATGCTGACCCTGCTGCCTTTGCATCTCAAACCAAAAAGACTGTCCTCATTCAGGGTAAGTTGACACCCTACTTTGCCATCCTGTGGAGCTTTGTGCGACACAACATCTACCCATCCGGCCAACGGTCGGAAATTCCCATAGTAGGGGTCAAGATCCTGAAAGTTTTGCATGAGGGAACTTTTTCCCTACCTATTGTTGACATCATTTTTGAACGCCTGAAGGCTTGTGCACGTAAGAAAAGCATCATATATTATCCTTGCCTTGTTAGCATGATTTGTGAACGCTCAGGTGTTCGGGCTCGCTCTAATGATATATATATGTTGAGCCCATGGGTCCCATTTCGGACACTTCTGTGTCCAAGAGTATCTCTCAGAGGCGCCATGCACCTGCACCTGCACCTTCACCTGCTCCAGTGCCACCCCGTATGCCACCACCACCACCACATGGGCCGGCCCCAGCACAGCCATTCCCACCTGCTCCCACTGTCGACACTTCTGCTTGGGAGCCCTCTCTCCAAGCCATTTGGGACTTGCAGATGCTTCAGTACCAGCAGATGCACAACCACCACCAGCAGATGCAGCATATGAGCACCTCCATTGACGCCATTTGGACGCACCTCCAGATGCCAGGTTAACCCGGGACCTCTGCACATGATGATGATGTTGTTGATGATGATGCTGATGATGGTGATGATGCTGATGATGATCAGTAGTACTTTGAGTATTGTACCCTTTTGAACTTTTCGTTTATTTTGTTTTTGGGTTTTATTTTAAGACGGTTGTTAGTTTGATTATTTCAACTTTTTGTTTGTTTACTTTTCCTTTCATTATGTGATTATCCATCCCAATCTTTCTAAATGGCATTGTTTAATCTTAAATCTCCATCAGTTATAAAAAATGTTTCATATAAGTTTGGGAAGTGTTTTCAATTCATTAATGCACAATCAGAATTGGGCGTGAATGCTTATTCTATTTCATAACATGTGATTACAAACACAATAATGAAAAGCGTACATAAAATTCCTAATCACATGTTCTTTGTTGCATTCTGCGCCACCTGAGGCTTTTGCTAATTGCCTCTGTTTGTTCTTGCTTGTAGAATCTGCAACAGCTCTACATGATCATCATTCCTTTTTTGCAGCATCTCTACATGCTGGTTGGCACTGTAGAGCCGCTTCTGCAGGTCCGCCACCTCCTCACTCAGTGCTCCGCACTCCCGCGTCCTCGCCAGTAGGCGCATGCCCAAATTTGTGGCCGAGACCGCGTTGAGCACGGTTAAATTGTAGGACTCGTCCACTGCCATCTTGTCAGACCTCTGCGCCACATGCAGATGATCTGCAACTGTAAGTCTGCTGACAGTCATGCCTTTCGGCAGTACTGCCCTACACGGCATCGCCCCAGAGAAGTTTGAGGCCGAGCCATGATGGTATGAGGAGTTTGGGAAGATAGGGTTTTGAGGAGCCCTTATCTCTGCATTTGGTGGTGCAAGTGACAACTCAAGGTTAAGGTCATCAATGAGCATAGCTGAAGATGCCATTGATTTTTATGTCTGGACTATTTGATGGTTATTCTTGAGTTTGCAGGATGAAATACAGGGTACTCCTCCTTTCAATCGAGAAGTGGTTTAAATAGACATATGCTCATAAGGGAGCCGACACCACTTTGCATTTCCTGAGCAATTTGCGGTTGCGTCCAGTTAAAAGGGAAGCATTTCTACTTTCACTTTACTTTCTTTTTCTCCCTATTTTCTGGTGCATTGTGTTTTGATTTCTTTTTAGTTTGTCGTCTCTGTTTTATTTTAGTTGGGGAAGTGTGATTTGTTTCTTTTTCGTTTGTCGCATTCCCTTTATTCCAGTTTGGGAAGTGCATTTTGTTTTTCTTCTTTGTCTTTTGCAACTTTATTTTATTTTATTTCCGAAAACGAGAAATTTAAAAAAAAGAAAAAAAAATACACGGGAAGGGCAAAGACAAACAGGCACACTAATAATACATTAGAATCACTTTTTCACAGTGCTCGGTGTCTCGACCATAGGACCTTTGAGTTTGGCCCTACGGCTATCCTCTTCCGGGGCTTCAGGTGCAGTCTCTTGGGGGATTGCATTCTTAGCTTGAGCGTAACCACTCTCGCGGTCTGTTTTCTTGCGTTTTCCCGGTCGGTCTATGTCCTCTAGCTGCTTTCTCATGTCATGGGCGTAAACACTTACCATCTTTGAGAGATTTTTGTTCTCTTCCCGCAACGCCTCCAGCTGGTGTCGATTCACCTCCACTATCCTTGCCCTTTCCTTTTTTAAACTTTTAATAATACTCTGGCACTCTTCAACCATACTTCGCTCTGCCGCCAATTGACCTCTTAGCACCTCCACCTCATGGGACTTCGCAATTAGGCGATGACCCACGCTTAGTGCCAGAGCATCGCTCACGACCCGGTTGTCATCCCTTGCTCCCAGCACCCGTATATCCTTGGGAGTCACTAGATTTCTAGCAACTCCAAGGGCAACATCGTTGTCCAACAGTATTGAGTCATTCACTGTCACGGGCCCCCGTGCAGAGGCAAAGTAGGGCATCCATACTGGTGCCACTACTTGGCCCCGAGTCTGAGTCGGTGGAGCTAGGTTGAGATCCAACGAGAATGGGTAGGAAGAGGTCATTTGAACTTTCTTTTCTTTTGTCTTTCTTTTCTCTTTTGTGTGTTCCTGAGTTTGTGTGTTTTTCCCCAACTCTTTCTCTTCTTCTTTTATAGAGTTAGTTTCTACGTAACCCTAGCTACTGCGTTTCTGCATTTTGCGCTGCCCTTACGGCCTATCCCCTTAGGTCACTCACCTGTTCCCCAACCCCTTTAATTGCATTTCTGCCTTTCAGCGCTTTCGAGAAACAAAAGTCGTCACACCTTCCTATGAAGCCAATAATTCTGGCTTTGGGACTTGAGAGGGACCTCTGCTTGTCGACACGTCTCTCACTTTGTATCCCGTGACTCACAGGTGCCGAGACTTCAGGGCCCACTTTTTCTATTTTACTGAGTCCTCGCTCTTTGTGCTTCTAACTTGGTTTCTTTGTTTTATATACTTTCTTCGCTTTTGGGCTTTTGTTTGGGTTGGGCTTTCATTTTGGTTTGTGCGTTTCTTTGGGTTGGATTTCTGCGTGCGTAGGACTATTGTTAGGGCTTACTGTTTGGTTTTGTTTGGTTTTGTTTTGTTTTGCAACCGTGTTGTAGTTGTTTTCCTTGTTTGTTTGTTGTTATTTATTTCATTGCTTTTATCCCTTTATTTCTTGTTATAACATTGTTGATGCCTAAATTCTTTAACATTGGGGACAATGTTCATTTCTAAGTTTGGGAAGGGATAGCAAGTCTTTTTCGTTTCACTTAAATTCTTGCTTTCTTTTATTTTGTTTTCTTTTCAGTTTTGAGTCTTTTTGTTTTCAAGTCACTTTCCGGACATATATGATGAGATTGTGATGATTGTTTACATGACTTGATTGAAAATGCTTTAAAAAAAAAAAAATTTATTCACTAAATGGCATCGTTCTAGCATGATATGTTTGAAACCCTCTATGCACTTGCCATTTGTTTCATAATTCTCCGGTTGAGGGACTTGCATGATCCAAAGAATTGTATCAAGCATGAATTAGACTTGTATAACCATATAATGTGAGCTTTGAGCCTTGTGCTTCAATTCATGAGTGTTATACACATATTCTTATTTTCTTGTCATCCGAGTTGTTGTTTGATCTCATTATTCATTGACTTGGTTGAGCACTTAAAAGACATTCATTATTGTGCAATTTGATTACATGACATTTGAGAAATGATATTAAGGCCCTCTTTGGACCGTTTGTGCCTTTCAAGCTAACCCTATGCATGCGTAAGCATGATTTTCCATTGTTAACCACCTGGAGCCTATATGTATGCCTTTTCTTTCAAGTAACCAATTACCGCTTCTAGCCTTAGCCTGAAAAACAAGAATTTACCTTTCTAAAGAACTCATGAGCTTTAATTTAGATGTGTTTTTCATGCTAAGTTTGGGAAGGGTTATTACATTCTTTATAAAAAAATAAAAAAATAAAAAAAAAAAGTACTTCACTCAAAGGGTGAAAGAAAAGAGAAAAGTCGTGGTTAAGTGGCAATGGTTTCAAATTCAATTCCATGTTTCTGGGTTGTTCGAATGGAAGGAAGGAGTGTGAATCATAATTAGTGGAGGTACAAGGCTTTGTGCATGCTAAGTTTGGGAAGGGTTATTACATTTCGGAAAAAAAAGAAAAAAAAGAAGAGTGCTTCACTCAAAGGGTGAAAGAAAAGAGAAAAGTTGTTGTTATTTGGCAATGGATTCAAATTTAAATTCCATGTTTCTTGGTTGGCCTCAAAAAAATAAAAAATAAAAAAATAAAAAATAAATTGATGGTTGTTCAAATGGAAGAAAGGAGTGTGAATCTTAATATTGTGGAGGTATAAGGCTTTGTGGTCTAATTGATCACATACAAAAAAAAAATTGAATGAAATTCTCAAGCGTGATGTTTCAAAGTCTTTTAGTCAACGATTATATGCTCTTACATTGTGAGTTCCTTGGACTTTGTTGTATCTTTATCCTTCATTTCTTACTCATTGTTCGGTTCATTTTTACACATGATTTTTCATGTTATTCACCTATTATTTTGAGTTAGTTCTTGACATTTTATATCTTTTTACTTCCTTTTTGTGTTTTCTTAGATTTTACCTTGGTTAGAATGAAAATGAACTAAAAATGTATTATTGGTTATAAATTCTGTTTTTGTTCATTTTCGTAGGTCAACTTCTTGGCCTGGGATCAACATGCTCTGGTGCTCGGACGAGGTCATGATCTTCATGAGACTTGTTCCAATGGATGTTAACTACAACATATCCAAATTTGAGCTCCATTGGACAAGTATTGCCTATCCAACCAATCCAGCATGTCACCGCAGCTCTGGAAATCCGGATTTGGCCAGCTTTTACCTCCCTTGTGTCATCTTAACTTCTTGTTACCATAACCCTTGGTAACAAGGAATTACATTTGTAAAATAGATATTTTCTGAGCTTTTGGCATCTTTGTGAAGTCAAAGCTCCATCATGGCAAGGGGACAATGGGCTAAGGCTTTATCAAAGGTGGTAGTTTTATATTAAAAGGTAAAAGCTGGAAAGGAGGAGAGAGGGAAGCACAAGGAAGTGCAATCTGATATTGGAGAGGCTTTTCAACGGGGGTATGGGATTCATTACATCATTCTACACCAGGAGCAGCTTGGAGAGCTAAAAGCTAAGGAAGGAGAAGGAGGTGCAGCTGCAGGAAGAAGGGGGAAGACTTCCACCATTGAAGACTTCAAGCTTTCATCATTTCCAAATCTGTAAACTCTTTCTAGTTATATTTCGAGTTTGTATTTGGAATAAGTATGAGCAACTAAACTCCATAGCTAGGGCTTAGGTTGAAGCCCTAAACATGATTACCTTATTGTTTTGATGCTTGAGTGTATGAATTTCTAGATGTTGTTGATGAACCCCATTCACTAATTGAATTTTATGATATGTGTTTGCTTCCTTTGCTTAATCACCTTAGGTTGTATGCATGTAGCTAAAGTTGAGAAGTTGTGTAAGATAACCAAGAACACAATTTCTAATTAGCAACAAATGATTGAACTTGTTTAAGTGAGCATCATGTGAATTGGTTTCTTGACAACAATTGATGAATTCCAATTCACCAAATTAATCTATCCTTGATGTGTGTGTTCCTTGATTGATTACCTTTGAAAGCATGCTGCTTGAGGTTGTTGGGATTATGTGTATCTTCATATTTTCCTAAGCAATAGATGGATGGAGTAAGAACCATCCATGTGAATTGGTTCCTTGAATACCTAATGTAAACACCATGCTATT